CTCATATGTTTCATATCTAAATGCTCCGTTATCTTCATCACTACTTTCCAAAACCGCTGCAGCAGCTTCAGCAGCTGTAAACTCTCCGCACGCCGTTTCACATGAGCCTCCGATGTGGACTGAATGAAGAATGAAGGGTTTCCGGCGTGATGGTCAGTCCTTAGTGATTTCCTGAGTGTCCATTGGTCAGTTTCACACAGACTGTAGACGGACACATGAATCCACCAGTTCCACACGGTGAGAGGCAGATGACGTGTATCTCAGCCCCTCTTCATAGGCTCATAACTCCGGATGTGAGTCTCGTATGATCTCGTGATAAGATGGAATGGAAAGGGCGACTCTACAGATTCAGGAAGTGTCTGAACTGGATTTCTGAGCTGGATCATCACAAGAAACATGTAAAAACATTGAACATTGATGCACGGGCATGACCGTTGACCCCAGAGGGTAAAGATAGAGACTGAGTGAGAAATTAAAGAATTTGGAATATAAGCTGTGTTTTTGTTCTAACAGCATGAAGAGTTTTGAAAAAGAGAACTCAGTGCTGAAAGTGCTTGTTAGCCATTGTAAAAAAAAATGTAAACTGACTAGTGAGCTGTTATCGAGTGGATCTGCGCACGGTTTGCGTGATAACCTGCAGTACTGCTAAACTGAACATGCAAATTGAGGCACACTTTGTTAGCGCCTGTACATCTGGCCCTCAGTGCTTGTCTAGTGTCAGTGTTGCAATCCTGGAATGGAGGCTACAGAAAACCGATCGGATTTCTCTCACACTGTATGTGTGTGAGCCTGTGTGTTTGTGTGGGTGTGAATATGTGAGAGTGTGTGTGTGCGTTTTGGGGGGGCTGAGCAGGTGCGGTGGGAATGACACTTAGGAATGTGGGGAATTCTCTGAAACTGCAATGTGGTCTCATAGCAACATTAGTATTTATTTTTTGTCATAAAGCTGAAGGGCGGCGTTAGACGGCAGTAAAACCGTAGCAGTGCAGTCTTTCCTGACTGACCAAACTACACTGTTATTAATTTAACAGTCCAAAAATTACAGAAAAAAACTGTGGGCCTTTTTCAGACAACCAGCCTCAACTGCACTACAGTGAACCACTATCACTGCATTATAAAGAACTGAATCTTAGTTTCTTACTTGAAGTGTTTCAGTTTATACAACTACAAAACTCAAATCTTAATCAAAGTACATGTTAACCAAACTAAAGGCAATGTCTAACCTAGCCTTAAAAATTGGTATAAACTCCATGAAACTGCACTCACTCTTTTAGTTGACTTCTCTTGGTCCCAGGTGAGATGTGCTCGCTCCTGGTTGGCTCGCCAAACTGTAAGGCCTCAGTTTCTCATTGCAGAGGCTTCCTCAGGAATTTCACAATAAACACCGACTCATAGACTCCTGAAAAATGTAGCTACAACCTGCCAGGCTCACACTGTAGGACTGTCCTCTGCTGACCATGAACTGGCATGAGTTTTGTATATGGATCATCGTACTGCATTGGTTCTAAGTCAGAGTTTTGGATTTTTAACTGATCTTGACTAAAACCCTTTTGCTCTGAGTGACTCTAAACCTTAATTATATATATATATTATTATAATAGTTTATTTTAGTAAAACTAATGATTGAACATTCCATTTTGTTTCTACCAAAACAGTTATAACTCTACCAGTCTGTACCAGATGTGTAGTAGTGACTGTTTTGGACAATTTTAGCTCATTCTGAGCTCAGAAACTCAGCCAGTACATGAGCAGCAAACACAGCTTTGAACAGCTGTTCACACAGAAAATCATCATATTTTACATTAAAACACTAAAAAGTGCTGAACTGCAGAAAATATGACGATTCTTAATGTTCCACACTGATTTTCAGACTTTGGGACTCATTTACTTCAAAACAATGGGATCTAACTGCTCACCATGTGGCCATGAGGGACAGGGATGCAGCCTCACTTCCTGCTCTAAAACGCAGGGGCGTGGCTAAAATAAGGTTCTGCCTACAGACTAAAACTCTTTGTGTTTAGGTAGTGACATGAAAACTTGGGGCAGCATTTTTAAAATACAAATTTTTATTTAAAAATTAAACTCATGATAAATCTAAACCATTAAACTTTACTTTAAAATAAAACAAAAGATTAAAAAAAATATTTATTTATTTACTCACCCCGCTCCCAAGTTTGGGGCAGGGTTTGGGACAGTCACCACCCAATAAAAAGTACCCTACAAATGAGGATTTTGTATATTTTTATATTACTATCTCTATTAATGTCTTGGGTTCAATAGATCAGAACATAACCCTTGTAAAAAGCTCTGAGTACTTGAATGTTTTTCAAACAGTTTTTTAACAGTTTGAACTAATTTGGTCTGTATAGGTGCCCTTTGTACACAATACAGGACACTCATTGAATGGCGGTCAGATCCATTCAGAACTGTGATTAACCTGCCTGGAAGAAGAGGTAAGTGTATTTGGCTCCAGTGAGGAGGATGGGCCAAGAGGCAGTGGACACACTTGGACAGTTGCTGGAGCTGAATGCATCCCGAGGCCTCCAAAACTGCAATGAGACAGCGCCTTGATTCAGAAACGTTCACTTGGGTTCTATGGTCAGGAGTTAAGGATACATGCAGAAAAGAGCCAAATCTGCTAAAGGAAAGTTTGGTGATGGATTTGTGACGTCTGTAACAGTGCCTGAAAAAGGCTCTGGGAATCTTCAGATATTCTGCATCATAGGCTCAAATACTGGCATATTTTAGACTAAAATTTGGCTGCCAGTGCAGCGCTGGATCCTGCAGAGGGGCAGCGATCCAAAGCATACATACAAATCCACACAGAAATGGTTCATTGACCACAGAATGAAGCTTTTCCAGTGACAATCCCAGCCTTCTGTCCTAAAACCCAGTGAAAACCTGAGGAGCTGAGCTGAAGAAGAGATTCCAGTGAGGACCAGAAACTCAGAGAAACAGACTCACAGGTCAGGATTGCAGGACAATATTCAGAGCTATTAACATGGTAAAAGACTGTACTAAATATAGGATAACTAACTAGGATAACTAATAAACACAACGTCTACGGTTAGCTACAAATATATTTACATTGTTTCCATTAGATTATCAGTAATGAAACTGATAAAAACATCTCTTCACAGCCTTTTTGACCATCTTTACTAACTGCAGCACAGATGCAAACTGGAAAATAAACACTAACTCTAGTATACATGTTGTAGGATACATACTGTAAACCGTTTAAAGTCAGGTCAACCTCAAATGATAAGGCGACTGATTTCATAGCTTTTTGAATAGTTTAGTGAACAGTTTTAACTCACATCTTTTCAGTACTGCATCTCAGTTATGCCAACAATAGAAACTGAGTTTATTCAAAGAAATGTAGCATAAAAACTGACCTCTTTCTTAGATTCTGAAGGAACAGTAGAAACTGTTTTCATGCAACATTCAACTTTGTTAAAAGTGAATGAAAGTGAACAGTCATGCCAAACACTGACAACTACCTTCCGTTCATTGTCAGCAACTATTTCTTTACAGTTGACAATCCTTTTCTTTGTCTGATAAACCAAAAATTCCAACTTTAGGTCACCCACAGTGCTAAAAAGAACAAAAAAAAACATGGTTCTTCAAGGGTTCCTTAGTAAAGATAACGCTTCAATATAGAACCTACATCACTCAAATAAGCATTTGCATGCTTAAAGCATTCTTTGCATGGTGAAATGGTTCTTTAGATTGATGTGAAATGTGTTGTATATGATTCTATACAAAACCTTTTTGGAAAGGGTTCTATATAGCACCAAATAGGGTTCTGATATTGCTACAAGCTTGAAGTTGTAACTATAGCAGAGGCCTTTTTGGTGCTATATAGAACCATCTACAGCACATTCTCTGTCCATCTGAAGAACCATTTCACCATGCAGAGAACCATTTAATTATGCAAAGGGTTCCTTGAGTGTTCATGGGTCTACATAGAACCATTTTCTTTACTAAAGAAGTCTTGATGAACCTTTTTTCAAGACTGACAAAAGTGCATTTCATGAAAAATTGCAGAGTGATTGCGCAACTTAAGCAATTCCCAGGTGGTTGCTAGGTGTCGACATCTCTAAAACTGCATGATGAGTTAGCGGACAAATCTGGCAGAAAAATATGAAGAAGAAGAAGAGAAGAAGAAGAAGAAGAAGAGGAAGAAGAAGAAGAAGCTGTTGGTTAACAATAGTTTTGTCCAATAAACAACAAGCCCAACAACTACACTGGCAAACAGCTGTGAAGCTTACAATGAAATCCAGCTCACTGCTGGACGTATTCAGAGCATTTCCATCTCTAACCTGAACCAGAGGGACCGAAGTGGACGAATGCAGAAGGGATGAAGCTGAAGGAGTGTAAGACGGAGGGAGGGGTTTGTTTGTTGTGCGTAAGTGTTTGTTAGGATGCCAGATACGATCTCGGCAATAAAACGCTCATTTACCTCTAAAGTTTTCCATCAGATCCCTATCGAGCAGTGAACACTGCACAGGTCTGTGTTTGGCTCTGTCACTGGGCACAACGCGAACCCTAAAAGAGCATATAACTCACACAGCAGCTGAGGGGTGTGTGAGTGTGTTTACGGGAAGTGTGTGTAACGGGGTGAGTGCCATGGGGCTCTTACAGGACCGGACAGGCGCCGTTAACAAGAGCACTTGGACTTCCTGTACAAGAGGAAGTGCCAACATCACCAGCTACACACACACACACACACACACACACAGACACACTCACACACACAAGTTTGTATTCCTATCATTGTGCAGCATTCATTAAGTTCACTTAACCCAAAACAAACCTTTACCTCGAACACCTGAACACCAGCTTTGGCCTGTTTTACTGTTTCTAATAAAAGCTGCAGTTTGTTGGTAAATGTCCTCTCAGTGGCTGCTGGGAAAATGACAAGTCAACAAGCAGACAATGCCAACGCAACTCATTCCTTACTCTCTCTCTCTCTCTCTCTCTCCTCTCTCTCTCTTCAGCTTGTGACTGCCACCCGGTGGGAGCTGCTGGTAAAACGTGTAATCAGACGACGGGTCAGTGTCCATGTAAAGACGGAGTGACCGGCGTCACCTGTAACCGCTGCGCTAAAGGCTACCAGCAGAGCCGCTCACCTGTAGCACCCTGCATCAGTGAGTAAAACTCCACCAGCATGTTAAATAACCACTATAGACCAAACCGGAATGTTCAGAAACATAACAGTTGGCTATATTTCCGAGTGGATAAATCACATTCGGTCAGCATGGGAGGAGCTCAATTTACTGCACAATTTACAATACATACAAACATAACACATGAAACATTACCAACAACGGTAAAATGATGTTGTGTTTGAGATGGTAATGTTTAATGTACTGATTACGTAACATATTTTACTGATGTTTTTACCATTTTTAAGCTTTCTGAAGCAGATAGAGCTGCTACAAGCAGTATTAACCCCTCTGAGTTTACTAACACAACTAAAGCTAATGACAATTTAGTGAATTAATTACCTTCCAGAAGAAGATGAAGTCATCCAGCACTATTATATGACCTGTAAGAACAGCAGAATGTAAACTAGGATGGTAGGATGATGTTTTTGTAGTTATTTTTATGAATTCTTACTTTGTTTACAACATAAGCTAAAAGAAGCTAATACTAGTAGCATTTATGCTAGCGGCCACAGAACAAGTGTTTTTGCTCATATTCTCAGAGTTGACAGATAAACGGAAGCTTTGTTTTCATATAGACCTAATTCTGTGTAAAAATAGACATTTGTATAAAAACACCCATATAATGCAAACGTTTTTACATAGAACTCTACATATTGCTGGGGAGGTTCTTATTACGATTAAACGACTAAAAGTCATAAAGTTATTGAGCTAAAAAGATGAGTTTAAAACACTTCGTTTTTCAAAAATTTTGGTTAAATAAGTCTCAGAATTAGTACAAAGCCCTGTTGTATCAGTAGAGCTACCTGTGTTATCCACTCTTTGTTTTTGTGACACTGATTTGTCCTATACTGTACTTACAGTTATAGAGTATGTATACTACACTCCTAAAAACACGATTAGCACTCAGAGAACCATTTTCATGCTTTTAAAGGGTTCTTTGCATGGTGAAATGGTCCTTCAGGTTGATGGAGTTGTATATGGTTCTACATAGCACCAAAGAGGGTTCTTCTGTTGTAACATGCCTGACAACAGAACGCTTTTTGGTGCTGTACAGAACCCTTTTCAAAAGGTTCTATGTAGAACCATAACACATTCTCTGTCAATCTGAAAAACCATTTTACCACACAGAGAAACCTTTAATTGTGCAGATAGTTCTTTGAGTGCTCATGGTTCAGTATAGAACCACTGTCTTTACTAAAAACCCCTGAAAAACCATCTTTTTAAGAGTGTACGTTTACTTTATGAGATGTATGTGCTGTTTTTACTGTAGAACATTATAGGTTCTATGCTTAAGGTAAATATTATGTTTTTCCTGGGTATGTATGTAAAATAAATTTGAATGATTTAATGAGTTTGTTTATAAATCATTGCTGTTGGAACAAAACCTCATATCTCCAAAATGGTAACTTTATAGGAGAAAGAGAAAACATACTTTACTTTTAATGTAAGTCAATGGAACCAGAGTTTCTCCAGTAATTCTGGGTCATATGTAAAGAACAGCAGGCATTTTCAAATTATGGCAACAACTGAAAAATTGAGATACAAGTGAGGACCAGTTCCAACAGCTGTAACATACATTTGTATGCAAAGGTTTGGCCAAAATGGCATATTTTGATAATTTTTTAAGTTAAAGAAGTGAAAAGACGTAAATAGAAAACTATTTTTAAAACTATTCAGCAAACGTTAAAGCACAGTTATTTTATATTAGATTAACTAGTGAAAGTACTAGATTAGTAATTCTGGGATGTGCAACAATTTGGACTACCAGTTGTAATGCGCTAGAACTTTTACTAGTTTTTATTTTAATTCTTTAATTCATTAGGCTTTAATTGACTAATTAGGACTAATTAGGCAGGTCAGAGTTATCATTAAGAATGTCAGCTGATCACAATTCCAGAGTTTAATAAATTCTCTGACTTTTCAAAATTTGTGTTAACTTTCAAATACAAAGGGCTTCTCTGAGCAGCTGGCTGAGGATGTGAAAACGAAGCTAGTTAACCTAATTAATTTATAGCAGAGAAAGGCTATAAAAGGATATCTGAGCCCTTCCAGCTCACAATTTACAGTGTCTTTAGGAAATGGCAGTTAAGGGGAACTGTGAATGTCAAGACCAAGAAAACTCTCAAATAGAGCTGCTTGTATGCTGAAAGAAAGGCAAAGCAAAACCCCCACATGAAGGAACTGGCTTAACAGACTTAAAAACCTGTAGTAGATCTGAAAAATGCTGTGCGTGCAAGACGGCCTGAGAATATCGCAGAACTAGAAGCATCCTGCAAGAAGATTCAGTGAAAAGTCCTAAAACAGGAACAGAATGACAAAAAGCATGAGCTGTGATATGTTACTACATTCCTAGTACATATTTTTTTATTAACTTTTTTGAAGTTAAACACTATGAAATATAAAATAACTTTTGCTCTATATTATATGTATATACTCTGTTTACTGTGTTATATACTGTATATGCTGTAGGTGATATGCATACTATATTTACTCTGGCTTATAAGTGTAAGGATAAATACTATTTACTCTCAGTTACACACTTTTAAAAAGATGGTGCTTCAAGGGTTCTTTAGTAAATAAAAAGGTTCTATATAGAACCATGAACACTCAAAGAACCCTTTGCATGATTACATGGTTCTTTGCATCATGAATTGGTTCTTTGGATTAATGGAAAATGTGCATGAATGTGCTATAGGTTGTCCTATATACACCGTAACTATACAGTAGAACCATTTTCTTCACCAAAGAACCCTTGTTTTAAACGCTTGAGTGTAAAAGGTGCATTGCTGCATCACGATTCATGGATGATTCAGCTTCACTGATTTGGGGATGTTAGAATCGATTATTTATTTATTATTTTTGGGCCAAAATCAAATTCTCTTCAAATGTAAAAACTCCCTGATTGTCTTTATTCTGCTACTGCAAAAACAGTCCTTCCAGTTACTTCTGTGTATTCAGTGTTTTAACAGAAACATCTTTCTGAATTGTGCTAAAATTAAAATCAAATCAAATTGTGGTGAAATGTGAGATTTCATGTTGCACTGAGTCGTTTCCTAAACAGTCATAATCGAATCACTGTGAGGTCAGACAGTTACAGCCCTGCTGGCTGTGTTGAGCTCTAACTCTCTCTCTCTCTCTCTCTCTCTCTCTCTCTCTCTCTCTCTCTCTCTGTTAGAGATTCCTGTGATTAACCCGACAGCAGTGGTCAGCAGCACTGAAGGACCAGCAGGTCAGAACAAAACACCAAAACACATTAACACGCTCCCTACAGCAGGTCTGCCCACTCTCTCACAGGCAGTGGGATCTGTGGACACTCATTCAAACATACTCTGTAAATACTTCATATATCTACATATATCATAGAATATGTTTTATGTGTACACGGAACTAAATGTAAAAGGATGATGGTTCTGGCTGGTCCAGATTTAAACCCTGTAGAGAATATTTGGTCTCACATTAAACACAAACCAGCTCAGCAGTGTTTTTCAGCTGTGTGAAGCCGTCAGTGCTGAGTGGATCAATACTGACTCTTCTTTCTGTGAAAGACTGTCTGCAGGTTCACACACTAAACTACGACACTTAAAGAGATCAAAGAGAAAAGCTTTTCTTTTTATAAAGCACTTATAAAGAATTCGTCTCTACAGTAGCTCACATTAATAAATATGCAATAGTATGAAAATACGATATATACAAATAAACAATAGCTCATATATAAACAAAATACACTAAGCACTGTAATGCAAATCTTCACATCTAAACCGTGTACAGACTGAGCAGTATGTGCATTTAGAACAATATAAACAATATACAACAATACATCAAACATACTGAAGATCCACGTTGTACACTATTGACACTGAAGCCCAGTTATGAGCAGTTATGTAAGTAAAACTCTCCATCAGTCCGACAGTCAGAGCTACGATGCAGAAAAGCAGAAGAGAAAGTCGTACCAGTCGTAACTTCGCCGTGACCCAAATGTAGCCTGTTAACATGATTATAATAATCCTGATAAAAAACACACTCAACTTTACAAACTGCCTGTCGTTTCATACGTTCTCAGCACACAAACACAAAGAATCTCACCAGGTAACTAATAATAAACTCTGTGTGGGAAAGTGAACCTTCAGCACTGTTACTAACCTAACACTGAAAATATGTATTAGCAGTATTAGCATTATTACAGTGGTGGTCATTTCTGGTATTAAAGGTGAAGAAGTATATTAAGGTGCCTCATTAATTCCAGGTCACTGTGGCAGTTTCTCACTCAAAAAGCCAAAACAACCCTCAGACTACCGAAGCGTTGAGACTTTCACTGAGCTGAGAATTACAAGTGGTCGGTGATCAATACTTGCTAAATCAGGTGCAGTGCAGTTCTATAGTACTGGATCCTCTCTAGTTGTGAGATGGACATGTCCTTTCTGAAAGCTGGGTGGGGGACAGATGTCCACTCTTTTAATATTACTCTTTTAGCTGTCATTACGTCTAGGCCAACAGCCTGTTGTTCGCAATTTGGCAATGTGAACGAAGCATTGAACACCCAAAAACAGCCTCATGACAGGGGAGATCTGTCTATCAAACACTTCTGAGTACAATTCATAAATGTATATGTATGTAGATGAGAACAGAACCAGAGCCTGTGTGCCAGCACGACCTCTACACACTCACACCGGACACAATCTGAACAGACTGATTTAATCAGTTTTACTTTTGAATAATAGAGTCTGTGAAAGATTTTAAACTGATAGAATGTGTATGAATTCAGTGTAAACCCACCTCTCACTCCTCTCGAGACCGTTTTGTACTGAGGTTCATCTCTCATGCTGCTTTGAGACTACTCGAGGAAATGTCTGATAGCTTCGAGAATAGACTGAAAAAATGTGAACTCAGTTTGAGTCAGGAGCTGATAAACCTCTGATCAATCAGGAGAGCTTCAGGATTCAGAGGAGTGTGAATGGTGAGATCATTAACAGACTTCAGCTGCTCAAATGATGTGAATGATTCTTTAATTTACAAGCCTCTGATTAAAGTAACTCCCTTTTCCTTCCGAGTTAAAAACTGGCTTCAGCCTCGCAGAAAGTCAAACATTGAGATTTTACAAGACACTGTTCTACTTTTGAGGAAAAGCTTCCTGCTAGAGATGTGAGAAAAGCAGCTATAGCTGAGCTAAAGCTAAAAGCAGATCAAAGTAAGTCTGAGTTTGTGTTTATATTATTTATTTATCCTATACTAGAACATTAGAACATACTGAGACATATTTACAGCCAAGATGCTAAAATGGACATAAAATGTTGTGGCTCCCAAGGTGGTTACATCTGTACTGGAAGGACAAAATGGCTCTTCTTAACAATTGGCTTGTCGACCCCTGGACTAGGCATTCTGGGTAACTCCGCCCCCTACGCTCACTCTGTCATTGCTGATCTTTTTGTGTCTGTTCTACTCACCAAAATAAGAACACAAGTTTTTAATCACAGAGAACAGACAGTCAGACTAGACTGAGCGACAGCAACCAAGTGCAAGATAATAAGTAACTATAACTTAATTAACTAAATACAAATAAGGTCAGTGAAGTTTTAACACTATTTTCATTAACAAAGTCGTATTATGACCCCCACTGGATTCAGTCCCCACTTGGGCTCAGCTGCAGAAACTGGACCGGACACACCACTGACTACAACACACACACAGAGGAAGTGGAGCTCAGAGGGGTTTAGTTCTGCTTCTCGGGGTGGGGGGGGTCGCAATTTGTCCTTGTCAGATACAAAAGAAAGAAGTGTTCTGTGTATGTGTGTGTGTGTGTGTTTGTGTGCGAGGTTTATGAACATTGTGGGGACCAAAACCTGTTGCTACACTCACGTTGTGGGGACTTTTCTCTTTGTGGGGACCACAAGTCAGTTCCCACATGTAATCATTATTTTAAGGTGAGGACATGTTTTAAGGTGAGGACATGTTTTAAGGTAAGGGTTAGGGTTAAGGATAGTAGTAGTTATGATTAAGGTTTGGTTAAGTCTCCAGAAAATTAATGGAAGTCTATGTAATGTCCCCACAATTCACAGAGAGAGAGGTGTGTGTGTTGTTGGGTTAGAGAGTGAGTCCCACACCAACACTCCCTGTAACTGACTCCACACACACACACACACACCACACACACACACACACACACACACTGGAGCCATGCCAACCCATACACACACTCAGAAGCAGCTTGTGAAGAAGCTCTGGAGTCTGAACTCCAACGGTCTCCACCTTCTTCAGAGATGTTTAGTACTGCTAAAGCTAAATCTTACATCTCTCTCCTGCTTGACCAGCTGGCCCTGTCTCCCTCACACACTCACTTGGCCCGCTCTCCCAAATTCCCGTCCACAGCGTTCTCCCCCCTTACATGTTTTTCACCTGGAGAAGGTTTTGGAGGTTTTGTTTCCCTCTGGAAGGAATGAAGGTCCACAGAGCAGCTCTACACTTACAATAACAAAAACACAGCGTAAAGAAAAGAAAAGCTTATTACACCAATATAAGATTCAGCAGTTTAATTCAGCTAAATGTGACTGTTTTTGGTACGTCTCCTTCTTTTTCTCTCTCTCCCTCTCTCTCTGTTGTGTACAGAAGCTGCTGAGAGAGCTCATATTTTACAATGTCAGCAAATACACAGACAGTTAAACAGCTCCGCTACTGTAGAGAATAAACTCAATATTCTGTTAGGAAAGCAATCTACTACAGACAGAGAGAGAGAGAGAGAGAGAGAGAGAGAGGACAGAGAGAGAGACAGAGAGAGAGAGAGAGACAGACAGACAGACAGAGAGAGAGAGAGAGAGAGAGAGAGAGAGAGAGAGAGAGAGACAGACAGACAGACAGAGAGAGAGGTTAAACCTTAACCCCTAAAACTACAACCCCAATTCCAAAAAAGTTGGGACGCTGTGTAAAATGTAAATTAATGAAAATATAAACAGAATGCAATGATTTGTGAATCTCATAGACCCATATTTTATTCACAATAGAACATAGAACACATATCAGATGCTGAAAGTGAGACATTTTACCATTTCATGAAAACCATTAACTCATTTAGAACTTGATGTCAGCAATGCATCTCAAAAAAGTTGGGACAGGGGCAACAAAAGGCTGGAAAAGTGAGCGGTACTAATAAAAAACAGCTGGAGGAGCAATTTGCGACTAACTCACATGACTGGGTATAAAAAGAGCATTTCAGAGAGGCGGAGTCTCTCAGAAGATAAGATAGGCAGAGGTTCATCAATCTGAGAAAAACTGCATCTAAAAATTGTGGAAATGGTAAAATGTCTCACTTTCAACATCTGATATGTGCTCTATGTTCTATTGTGGATAAAATATGGATCTATGAGATTTGAAAATCATTGCATTCTGTTTATATTTACATTTATTTACATTTCACACAGCGTCCCAACTTTTTTGGAATTGGTGTTGTATCCTGTTCTCTCAGCAGAGAGTTAGACATGGCCATGCTTCTGCTTCTGCTCTGTATTAATCCCTCCAGCAGGGAGGCACATACAGAGCACTGGAACAGCAGGGAGGTCACTCTAACCACACTACTCCTCTCTATGGTGGAGACTGAACCCACTGAACCACCCCCACCCCCGACACATAATAACCACGTACACATGCCCTAAACTAACAAACAACAACAATAAGCAACACAAGCAGTCCCCTTGTTGGAGGGTGTGTGTCCAGCATGAAGGCCGTCGCACACCGGACACTCCGCGATGCGCAGTGTAGCATCACATAGCAGAGCGCTGCTATAGAAGCATATAGCTGATTTGGTATATTTTGGTTGATTTCTGCTATAGATATAATGTCATGTCTGTAACAATAGAAGAACCCTTTTTGGTGCTGTATAGAACCATTTTCAAAAAGCATCCATGTAGAACCATATACAACACGTTCTCCCTCAATCTGAGGAGCAAGATGTGATTCTATTTAGAGCTCAGAACCTTTTCAAGAGTGTCTGTTTACATACTTTCTTACTAGTTTTAAGATATTTTGGGAGATATGAAGTACTAGATATGATTACTCATTCAGGGCTTCTTGCTTCTCCACTGGCAGATTGTTTTGCTCAATTAAATCATTTACATTTCTTTTTCAATATATATTATGCAGAGCAGAAGACAGGAAGCCTGTTTTCTGCTCCTACACAGTGAGAACGCTGCTCCGCCAGGGAGGAATCAGAGTTTAGAGACACTCTAACTGCAGATGGGTCTATAATGAGGCTGGGTTTGTGTGAGACGGCAGTGTCTCTGTGGAGAGAGACGGAGATCAGTAAACAGCTGTTTGTTGTGTCTCCTCAGACTGTGAGTCCTACTGTAAACCAGCCAAAGGCAACCTGAAGATCAACATGAAGAAATACTGCAAGAAAGACTACGGTACGAAAACACACACAGACACATTCATCAGACGGGACACTGAGCTTTTCACAGTGTTTATAATACAGACGATCAGGATTTCTTTCTTGGCTTGAAAGAACTAAACTTATTAAACTCTTATTAAATACTACAACAATGTCACATGTAAATATTTGGGGTGATACCTAAACAAACTGCTTCATTAAACTTTATTTATACTAGTCTCAGCCACAGAAGCTCTGCCCACAGAGCACATGATATCTGTTGTACTATTGGACGAGAAACACCTCTTGGGTTTTTTTGTGTTGAAGAACCCTTTAAAAATCTGTGCCTACACATTGCATTAGGTCACATTGCGGCCCTTTCCTGTTAAACTGGGAGGTTCTTGGCCACATTGAGCAATAAAACACATCACTCTGACTGCTGGCAGAAGCCTGGCTCACAAAACATCGACTTTATGACATACAACTGACATAACATTATTAATGACACATTTCCTATTTTGACCCTTCAACCCACTGCACATGGTGACCATACGCTACATTTATTTTTTAGCGTTGAAGTCATTTCATGCATCGAAACTGGTGTGCAGTAGTGGAAATGTTGCCGCAACAATGGAGGATCATCAGAGGAGAGCTTTAAATAAAGCTGCACTCTGAATGATTTTGGTAAAAATTCGAACGCGTATCATTACTGACTAATGAGAATAAAGACAGGTTCAAATATGGTGAACCTGCTCTGCCGAGAGCCGCCCTGTAAATGATCTCAGAGTCAACACTGTACTGATGAAGATGTGCTGACAGTAGTAGATAATTCACTCTCATCCTCAGAAGATGCTCCTTCACCAAGTTTAGACTGAGTTCTCTTTAAATCATCCACTCAGGGAGGGGGGCTGAAGTACAACCCACACTACAGAATGTTCTTCTGCACACCGAGTGCAGTTACACATTTCCACCAGACAGGTCTCCAAATCTCTAAATCTTACACAGTGCAGGTAAGGTGGAGAAAGTCAGGGGGATACTGTGTACTCTGTATAACAAATCTACAATACTGAGTGGGCCTGAACAATGAAACGTTTGGTGTCATGACTCCCAATAAATTAAATATCCGGTTTATTCCACCACTGCGGTTGACAGCAAAAGCTGGGAATATTGAACTCTTGGCTGAATGTTGCTGGCTGTGGTGGAATTTTCTGTTCCTGCTCTTTTGAAACAATGGAATATCTGATTTGCCATCGGCCGCATACCACCAACATGCAAGCAGCATTTCACTGTGTCCTGACAGCCCCAGAGCTCAGAGAAACCTCTGACAGGAGCTTCAGGATGTCCACACTGGAAACATTGAGTTCATGTCGAGTCAACATGTAAAGAAACCTCAGACCTTTTGGAAAATAGCTTCAACCTGAGTATCCTAGCTACACAAAAAAGATGGTTCTTCAAGGGTTCTTCAGTAAAGACAATGGTTCTACATAAAACCATGAATACTCAAAGAACCATGTGCATGCCTAAACGTTCCTTTGCATGATGAAACTGTTCTTCAGATTGATGGAGAATGTGTTGTATATGTTTCTATGTAGCACCAAAAGGGGTTCTGCTACTGTTGCGATGTCAAGCTTGTAATAGAATTACATTTTTTGGTGCTACATAGAACACTTTTCAAAAAGGTTCTACATAGAACCATATACAATGCATTCTCCATCAATCTGAAGCACCCTTTCACAATTGAATCATACAAATGGTTCTTGAGTGTTCATGGTTATATAGAACCAACGGGTCTCATTCACCAACAGTTCTTAAGAAGAAGTTTCTTCTTAAACCCACTTACGCAGTTTTGACGAAGACTCTGACTCACCAGTGTTCTCTTATGTGGGGTTTGTTCTGAGGTAAGAACAGAGTCTACACACACTCAAGAGCACAGAGGTGAGAACCGTTCTGCGCTTTAAGAACATGTCATAAATCTGACGTAGACTTTTTCTTAGGACCTTTCTCAAGATCACACACAGAGAATGAGGCGCAGTGTCTTTACTAAAGAGCCCTTGAAGAACAAATCCGCATCAATCAGTGACACAAAACGAACAGTATTCACCTCTAACTACCAGCTCTCCACCATTTCTTTCCAAACCGTCCCCTTTCTGTTCACATCCTTTTTATATTTACTGGAGGGTCGTGGAGATTGCTCCTTTCTTCACTTCATGGATGAGTTTCTCTCCATCCATTCTGAGGTGGAGTAGAGTGATGCAATGCATCAAAAACAGAAACAGGGTATCTGTCAAAAAAAGCCCATCACATTACATTTGCATAGCTTTGCTGCTACCAGCTGGTGTAGACAGCTTCACTGATTATAATGGGAGCATTCTGGTTTCTTTTGGTCACTTCATGTCGCTTGCTGTTGGGACAAGGTGTTGTCCTTGGATAAAATCATGTGCAGAGCTGCTCCACAGCATCCCTTTCTATTGGTCTGTCCTTTTCTATGGAGATTATACAAGCTGTGTGTAGTTACACTCATTGCTAACATTGGTGTTTATCTTAGCAGTAGATAAATTGACTCATTAGATGGTCTGTATGGATTCTTCTGGACAGACAGTGTCCAGAAATAAATGAAATAATCTTATCATATTCTCACAGTAACCCATAATGAATATGAATGACTAGATCTATGATGATTTCAAGTGCAAGAAAATGTGTAAATGTGTATTTAACCACTTTTTTGAAAAGCTTTTGATGTAAATATGTGTGTGCATTTGTTGTTTAGCGGTGCTGGTCAGTGTGCTGGACATGGAGACGGTGGGCGACTGGGCGAAGTTTGCGGTCAGCCTGGTGTCAGTGTATAAGAGCAGAGAGCCGCTGAAGAGAGGAGAGAACCTGCTGTGGGTCCACATGAAGGACTTGGCCTGCAAGTGCCCACGCATACATATGGGCAAACGCTTCCTCATCCTGGGCTCCAGAGAGGGCGGGGCCAGCCCGGAGCGGGCGGGGCTAGTGGCCGATAAGAACAGTCTGGTCATCCAGTGGCGGGACGTCTGGACCCGGCGGCTCCGCAAGTTCCAGCGCAAGGAGAAGAAGGGCAAGTGCAGCAATGCATGATGGGACTGCATGGCACCCCCCCTGCCATCTGACTTCTGTGACCTTTGACCCCACATGCGCACATGCGGGAGACTGTGGCCTGTGTGTGTGCGGTGCGGGGCTGTGTGTGGACTGGATTGTTGGTCAGCCTTCAGAAGGGACCATAAAAAAAGAAAATAAAGACTGATACACAAACCACTAGCATTACACACACTGTGCGTACATCAAACACAGAGCCAGACTGCTACACCACTGCTACACCAGCACCAGAGCACCACACCACTACCGTTCCACACCATCTACAGCTGTAACCGTACACAGACTTACATTCGACACGATTTCTGATTCTGAGGTCAAGATTTGATATTTTCTGTGTTTAAATGTTCTTGATTCTGCAGAGCTCTAATTCAGTTAAACACAGGTTGGTTTGGCTCAGATAAATAAAAGTTCTCCAATAGAACCATTTCAGCTCCTGCTGCGCTGCCCTCTCACCCCAAAAGTAGGCTTCCAGAAAGCCCGGTCATCAAGAGGTCACAAGTTCAATCCTCAGTGATGCCACAGTCCTCCGTAAACAGGAGTCCAAGAAAGTATAACTGTCCTCTCTCTCTCTGGGTGGTTAGGGTGGTCCTTCCTCTCCCCTCATCACTGAGCATGATGCTAGCTAACCTGGGCGTCTGTTAGCTGACATAACAGAATTAGCAGTTAGCACTTTCTACAATACAGATGCAAAAAGTACAGTGATGACAGGAACAGTGGTGTAGAACAAATTAGAAAAACAGGCCAGCATAGCAGGGGAAACAGATATTACACGGTTTTCAGGTTTTACAGAACAAAATTTGGCTTTTTCTCCAAAAATGTCCTGGTGTATATGTGGGTCTTTTATTGAGGTCATTAGATGTCATCCCAAAAAATGATATGTTTGATACTTAGTTTAAAATTAAGTCTGATATTTTTTAGTATAGAGTTATTCAAATCAGTCCACAAAGTCTGGGTGTATTAGCATTCCCAAAAGAAATGTGTTGAAGTTTGTATAGTTAGCATCCAATCATGTTGAGCTCCACTGATGCACCATTAGAAGCAGTTTGAAAAGATGTGGTGGAGCTTCAAGTGTTTCAGAGGAAACACATGCTGGCCTTCATCTTCCCAGCTTGGTAGTCTTGTACGATGGAGGGAGACCTAGCTTACGAAGAAAAATGAGTAGAAAATTTGGGTGAAATAGAATTAAATAAGTAAACAAACTAAACACAACAATTTATGAATTACTACAATTTATAAGCTCAGTAAAAAAAAGAAAAGAAAAAACCCAGTCGTTTGATCGTGGTTATGTTCATAGCATAAACCCCACCCCCTCCCCAAACACTTTACTCTGATAGGCTGCACTCAGAGGAGAGTGAGGAGCCATCCAGATTTACATTTTTGCTAATTAGTGGTCACCCACCCAAATCTAACTCTCCTCACTCAGCTAATCAAGGACTAGGGCTGATTAGGGTTGGTGCACATTACTCTAAACATTGACCATATCATAAGGAGGTCACGAGTTCAATCCTTACTGATGCCACAGCCATGATAATAACTGTCCTCTCTTTGTCTTGGTGGGCAGGATGGTCCTCTCTTTCCCTCCATCACTCAGTGCAATGCTAGTCAAAGTGGCTCTGTGGTAGCTAGTATAACAGAATAAACAGTAACTGTTCTCCTCCAAGCGTGTTGAGCTGTCCAATGGTGTTGTATTGATGGCAGTTTGAAAAGATGTGGAGCTTTACATTTCTCAGTGTCCCACCAAATACTGGTAGAACTGTGTGATTAGGGGATATATTAGCAGAGAACACTGGGTAAAAAATTAAGCTCTTCAGAAAAAAGCCCAGTCATTTGAGTGTCCCGCCCACTTTATTGTCCCGCCTAGTTTTAATCACTGACTGTGGTTTTCATGAAAGACAGTAAATGAGAGATTTCAGTTTTACATCTCTGTAAATCAGAGGTCACCAGCCCACTTCCTGCAGATCTGCCTCCAACCCAGCTCAAACTCACCTGACTCAGCTGATCAGGAACTTCTGAAGGCAGTTACTGGACGGATAAGCTGAGTTGGATTAGTGATGAAGCTGAAGTCTTCAGGAAAGTAGACTAGCAGCAGACGAGGTGAGCTGGCACCCGGAAGGTCACGTGATCAAATCCCAGGACTGGTTGGGTATTCCTGGGTATACCCGCGGGCGTGGCAGTTAACCCCCCTGCTCTGCTAGGCATACCAGCAATATGACAAATTTCCCTTGTAGAATCAATAAAGTATAATATATAACCATCTTTATGTACTGTACTGAAATCAGTGGACGACTGAGCCCATTTTACACCAGATGTGGTGCAATACGCTCCTCTGTAAATCAGTGCAGCCTTTCACACTGACTGCGTGCATTATGAAGTGGTATCGTCCAGATTAAATGCAAAGCTGCACAAAATTCAGTATTCTGGCTAAATTGTGCAATCAAAGCCCATAATCAGAACAGCAGGCAGTAATGAGCTGTAGTAGCAGCATTGCCCTGGTACAAACTTCAAGAGTCCGTTGGACTTATAAAGGGAAATAGCTGAAGAATCAGCCAATCAAAACCCTTAGCATACAGTGAACAGCTAATATGTGTGCTCAAATCTACATCTACATAAAGCTGGTTTAATTTGTAAACAGGATAAAGGACCTGGGGCCGGTTGCAACACGACTACCAAACGCACTACTTCTAAACTCATTCTGAACAAGGCAATATGTCTGCTTTTGTTGTATGTTCAGTGCTGATACACATTTTGATTTGATTTGATTGATCTTAGATTTGATATATAATTAATAATTTAGTGGAGTAGCTGTTTAAGCACTGCTGCACTCTGCAGCGTTTTGAGTAGCAGCAGATAAAGTCTCTAAGCAGAGCTGATGAGCATCAGTGCTTTGATGAGCAAAGAGCTAGCACGTTTAGTATCATAATAGAAAAGGTCTAGAATTGGACTTTACACCTGTTCCCAGCTCACCCCCAGTCTTACGGTCTAAAGCAGTGGCCCCCAGCCCTGGTCCTCGAGCGCTGCATTCCTGCAGTGTTTACTTCCAACCTGTATCTAATAAGCTGCCCTTACCTTTAATACATCTGATCCAGCCAGTCAGGGACTGTGGAAGAGGTTGATTAGCTGGAGCAGGTGTGGCAGATTCTGGCTAGAACTTGGCTCTGCAGGAAGGTGGATGTCCAGGACTAGGGTTGGAGAGCACTGGTTTAGCTTACTGTTGGTCCATCTAGCTCCTGCGGGTTATATTAAGCTTTCCATCGCTAGATCAAACTATTGTGGGCAGAAAATGCTCTTTGCTTCATCCAGGATGACACTGAAGAGTAGTGCAGAGCTTTCTGAGTGCACTTCATCATTTCTGGTGTAAATTCGGCTTTAATCTACATTTCAATCTTCCTTCAGCGCGCAAACACAGAAAGACCGAGAGCAGTCAGAGCTACACAACCTGCATTCTTCTGCCTCTTCACCCCTGATCACACTCTGAAACCCTCAAACTCCAACACCAGCACCAAACACCACCAACACCACCAAAACCAGCAGCACTACCATCATCATCATCAACATCATCACCATCGTCATTCTGGGACTCTAACCCTCTACATATGTTTGTGTGGTTATACAGTCAGACGTTATGAGCTCTGAATGTTGTGACATGTTAAAGCTGTAAACAGAGCTGGTTGGCTGTACTGTGTGTGATTGGAAAAGATACAAGAGTGAACAGTGTAAAACTCCTTATTGTCCTCTCAGTTAATGAGAAAACAGTGTACGGTACTCAGACCTGAACAGGTAAAGCCATAGTTCAGTGACAAATCTAATTTACACACACACACACACACACACACACACACACACACACACACACACAATCAGGTCAAAATGGACAAGAGTAGTGTGAGATATGAAGCCATACTGCGTGTTTAGATATAGCAGTATGTGGGGTGTTAGCCTCTGTTACCAGCTACATTAGCCTCGTAGCTCTAGTGCTAAACTAAAGAAGTAAGCTTCAAACCCCAAACATGACTCGGCCGATCACTTACATTTTGGCGGGAATTGGATTTTTCACTGAACTGTTGCTTTAAGTTTTGAATTTGTTCCTGTTTCATACTCTAATAACATATTTTGGTTTTCTGCAACAATCTGTCCCTCTCTTTCTGTGTAGTTTCTCTCTCTCTCTTTCTCTGTGACTGTTTCAGATTAAGGGGGTAAATCTGACTCTTGGCCAAATGGCCTGTTCTCATGTTTTCATTTTTCATCGTTAAGCTCATCATGATGCATTTAGAAACGTCTTTATATATTCTCTCTCTCTCTCTCTGATTAGAGGACCCCAGATTGGAGGAGCCACAGCTCCAGATTTGTGCTCTTGTGTGTTTTTGATTTGAATGTTGGAACAAACAAAAACAAGGAGTCATAAAACTGCACACCCTCTCTGACTGAGTGTCTCCATGTGTTCAGGTTGTTAAAGGAATACTACAGTGTTCCTCAGCCTAATACAACCTACAGCAAAAACAATGACTCAAAACCTATTATAGAAGTCAAAGGGATGCTGGATTCACATGAAAGGCCTGACCATATACTGCAAATTTGACACTACAGCTCTCTGACAAACGCACCCTCGAGTGAAGACACTGCCAGAAACAAGAGCCAGTGCAGATACCTAGAAGAGAGATATGATGACAAAAAATAATTACATTTACAAGAAGTCCTACAATAAGTGACAGGTTAGTGTTCATTTAAAAGCCTCACAAAGGGATGATCTTCAGTCTGTAACAATCCCCTTGTAAATCTCAACCAAGATAATAGTCACTGACGTTCGAGGACAATACACTCCAAGTATAAGAATAGAAGAGTTTGTACAGGAGAGACAAAATCAATCCTTTTGAAGTTATACTGAATCAAAAAATCAGAGATTTACAATACTGGGACAAACACATGCACATATACAACCCCTATATACACAATATGTAACCAGTGTCCATCAAAAAACAAGTCCACAAAGTCCAAACCCAAAGCCCCAAAAAATCCCAAATCCCAGAAGTCCTTAGCAATGCATTGCAGCAAACTGAAAAAAAGACAGATCTCACCGGTGGTGCAGGCCTGACATCAAATTACCCCCAGACAGTCACAGGAAATCCACCTTCTAGTTCCTCCATGATCTGTCTTGCTCCTTTGGATGAATCCCTGGCTGAGGGCATAAATTCCCATGTAGAGTGGTTGGCTTTGGGATGTGCTGCTCCTTTTACCCCAAACACATCACCACCTTCACTTCCACATGGCCAAACTTTTTTCTTTCCTTCCTCTTCCTGGTTCCAGTCACCTGTCCCAATGACTCCTCCCCCATTTGCCAGCAGAGCTCTTAAAGGGCCTACGCAGCTCTTTTAGTTCAGTTTCAGTTTGATCCACTGTATAACAAATGGCTAATATAGAATCCTAAAACTAATTTAAAAACCTCATTTAATAACACACCCAAAGTAAGTTTAACCTTGCAAGGCTTTTAATTTAAACCATCTTCTAATGATACGTGCAACAAAAGCCCCCCCTCATACCTACAGCTGGAGGTATGAGGGACTGAACTCTAAAATAAGGCTTGAGATTTCCTACATGCACTGTGTCTACTTTGTCAGGGTTATTGTGCCACTGTAGCCCATAATTAACAGGACCTAGAATTTTCATCACCTTAGCTGGACCTGTCCACTTTGGTGTTAATTTGGATGAAAACTTATCAGAGGCTTTGGACTGCGGGTGTGCCCTAACCCAGACCAGATCTCCCACAAGAATTTGTGCCGGTCTCCTGTGGGCATTATAGTATCTGGCTTGTCTATGTCTGGCCACTTCCACTTCCTGCCTTACCTCCTGTGCCATCTGGTGTTGTTGTTCAAGTAGAGTATATGATTGCTGTTGAGGATGAAGTGCTGGTGTTTGATGAATTAGCCTTTCTAATAGGCCTTTCAGTTGCCTTCCCAGGGCCAATTCAGCCAGAGTTCATCCTGTTGTTTCATGCTGGGTGCTGTTGATCGCAAACCGGAACTCTGACAACCACTTATCCCAGTCTTCATGGCGATTACCTACAAAGGAGGCCATCATAGTTTTTAGAGTGCAGTCAACCCCCTGTGTGAAGTTGGCCTGAGGATGGTAGCTGGTGGTCATCTTCTGTAT